ACGGCCAGGATCTTCCTCTTCCGCAGCATCCTGCATCTTGTAGCCTGCTCCACGACGCCCGTTTCTTTATCAGTGTGGTGTTGCCCGACGCAACAGACCCTGCTCCATCTCCCTCCCTTCCTGGACTGTGGACAAAGGCTCAGCTCAGGAACTGGGGTAACCTGGGCTAATCCTGCCCCTGGGCCAGGCCAGCAGGGCACACACTCCTCCCTCCCCCTGTGTGGCTCCCTCCAGCTCTGGTCTAGAGAGAAAGTAGCTGAAGCTCATGGAACAACCTCATTTTGAGGCCCTTGGGCTTTCTATGGTGAGTCCAAAGAAGATGAACGTAGGGGACTGGAGATGAACATTGGCGACTAGGGGATGGAGATGACAGGGGTGAAGTTACCACCACATCCTAGCAGGGCCCGGGAGGGGGGGTCCTGGCCTCAAGCCAACCATGAGATATTTCTAAACCTCCTCCTCAATTCAGGCCCAATGCCTTTTCAGTCTGCTTAGAAACTGCTTCTCCATGGAACCGCATTTACTGAGGTGTTGTTCTGACACTCCTTACTCTATGGGCGATTTGAATTCATTTATTCTGGGCCTTGATGTTAATTGTCTTCCCATCATCTTGTGTTGTGTATCCTGTCATTCTTTTACATACACACACACACACTCCCCTCTCCTTGGGAACCAGATCCTCACTCAGCACTGGGGTTACTCTGACCCTCTGTCTCTGGTCCCCTCAGAGCCGCCCTCTCTGCAGTGTCTCTACTCAGCAGGGTCTGAGCAGCCCCAGGAGTCCCTGCACCTCCTGCCTCTGACCTTGTGGGAAACCAGCCCCTCACCCTGCATGACAGTGAGGAGGCGAAGGCCAAGTCCTGAGGTCAGTGACTGGTGGAGGAGACAATTTGCTTTTTTCGTTTCTTTTTCCCCTCATTGTACTATTCAGTTGAGGTAACATTGCTTTACACACTGTATGTGTTCAGAGGCCCAGGGTCACCCCTCTTCAGATGTTTGTTACCACATCACACCTACCATAAGGGCACCCACAGTCTTCACCATAGGCCACTGGACACCTCTCCCTACTTTGTTTCCTGCTTTTACCCCCAGCCCATACTTTCAATTCCACAGTCATATTTCTAGAGTTTGTTTTGGTTTAGTTTCACCTGTACCTGCTTTGTTTCTTTATATTCCACATGTGAATGAAATCATCCAGTATTTAACTTTCCCCTTCAAACTTATTTCAGTTAGCATAATCCCATCCATATCTATCCTTGTTGCAAAGTCAGCATTTTTTTTCTTTATCCCCTCACCTGCCGTTGGGCACTTATGTTGTGTCCATTGCATGGTTATGGTGGACAGCGCTGCAGTGACCATAGGAGGCGCATATT